TGATTCCAGTAAATGATTCCAAGCTGTATATTGAGGTGGTTAAGTTTACATTTCTTACCAGCAGTGTAGTTTCTAGTACTTAACATTGTTGCCACTGTTTGGTAGGAACAAATACAATTTTAGCTGTCTAAAATTATGGCTACTTTGAATTGGTGACTTCTATTGAAGAACTGAGGTTGAAGTTTGGACCTCAGAAACCCTGAGTAGGTTCAGTCTGCATCCCAGAAGGGCCACTTAATGATTGGGGTCTTAACTTTTGGGGGGGTGTTTTAGAGGAATCTTTTTATAACATCCAAATGCCACTGTCAAACTCTGTAAAACCTAGACAGTTTAACCTCTGCGAATTTGAGTCTCTTCCTCTGCAAAATGGGAGTCATTTAACATTCCTCAGTAAATATGGAAACTCCATCATCCTGCCAGAAGTCCTTAATTTTTGGATATAATCATTATAATACAAAGGTGATGAAGTCATCACGTGAAGGAAGAAGTGGCTGATTGTGACATTGTTTTGGAACACTCCCATCCATGCTTATTTTAGTTTATCTATTTTTAGGGGAAACAAAGTCATTTCAGCAAGAGCAGTAGGCGTCAAAAGCTGGCATGTCCTGTGTGAACTGCCTGGTGGGTTTGATGTTCGGATTTGTATGCTTTGCAGGATGGCCCATTTACTTTTCAGCAGCACTGTACACATGCCTCCATCCTGGATTGCTCTGCGAGATGCAGGGCAGCAGGGAGGAAATCATCTTCTGCTTGGGTTTTGATGCAGAGTGGTTTTATTTTTCCTCAGTCAACTCTCTACATCCTCCACTGAAAACAAAACACAGCCTACACCATGGGTAAATATTGTGACTGGCAGCCCCAGTGTTGCTGCTGCCGTTCTACCCTTGTCTGCAGTTGTTCAGTGATCAGAGGTGGCACCTTGAAAATTCAGTAGTGTAGTTCTTATGTTCGAAAGATAACTGAAGTGATTCCAGAATTGAAAATGTGACATAAGTAAGAACTGCAAGGCATTTTTTTGTTTTAAGACAGGGTCTCACTACGTAGTTTGGGCTGGCCTTGCGCTCACTTTTGTAGCCCCTAGGCTGGTCTCAAACTCGCAGAGATGCTCCTGGCTCTACCTCCCAAGTGCTGGGATTACAGGCATGCACCCGATTCCTGCAAGGCAATCTTATGATGAAAATAATGAGACATTTTACAGAGGAAAAGGTGGAACAGTCCTGTTCTTCCTCTTCCCGTTTCCAAGCTTTTCAGAGACACACAGGTATGCTGAAGATGAGAATGATGCCTCTGAGCCCAGTCCTGCTCTGCTCCCCTTTCCCTGTGGGGCAGTGTTCCTGGGAAAGCAGTCAGGGAGGGTCAGAGGGAGCATCCTGGAATCAGGGTGCAGTGACAGTTTGACCTGGCTGAATTTCATTTTTAATTATTGAAGGTTATTTTTGTCTATTTAAAGACTTACGTGTCTAGTTGTTTTTCACATTTTCTTCACATCTCCCTTCTTGCTCTTTCCACCCATCCCCCTGTCTTGTCTTTTTGTGTTTTCATTTTTCTAACTTATCTTTCGAAAAGTAAGTAAAGAGAAGCTACAGGAGAGGTTGAAATTTATGGTCTCTGAACTTGTACAACAAAAAGGGATTCCTCCATATATGTAGGCTTTTATAAACTGAATGATTTGAGGCAAGTTGCTTTTTTTTTATGTTGCAGGTTATTTCTCAGTGGAGACAATTATTACAGCAGTTGTTTTGTAAATCAGGTTAAAAATGAGAAACATTAGAGAGATGATCCCAGCACTCCAGAGGCAGGAGGATTGTGAGTTTAAGGCCAGCCTGGACTACCTAGTGAAACCCCATCTGAAACAAAATAAAACACCCCAAAGTAACAGTTGTGTGAATTGCAAAAATAATTACAACTGTCTTTGCCTCACAGTGACTCAGTGCTAACCTCTTCTGATCACTTGACATGTATCAGTTCTCTCATTCTGACAGCTGCTCTGTGTGTTAGGTACTCCCAGGTATAGGTGAGAAAACTGAAGCAGTGAGTGAGTGTTTAACCCAACTAACATGAATTAGTTAATAGGTGACAACCACGGCTGGGATTTGATAACTTTCACAGTTTGGCATTGATTCCTGTGTAATTTGAAGCAACAGACCCAAGATTCTGCACACCACAGTATGTGCAGCTTGCAAATTTTATGAGACACGATAGTATCTGTAGCTCTGTTTGGGTGAAAACTTGCCCACTTGACAAGAGCTGACCTTGCTGCCCAACTTAGGGAGTGGGCTTGCTTTTGGAGCAGCCCAATTCTAGCTGGCTTGCTGCCTAGGACCTGGCTTTCTTTCCCACAAAATAGTTTTCTGAGAAAAACTGTGGGAAACAAATGACTTCAGAGGGTTTTAGAAACAAAAATGCAGACTCTAACAAATTTCATCTGGCTCCGAAATGTTGTTATCCCAGATCCTGAAAATATTTTCTTATAGGATTATTCCCTCAAGGTTGTTAATCTGAGAATGATCCAGGCCTAATAGACCTGACTTTTTGCCCCTGGTATTAGAATCTTGTGTATTTGAGGGCTGGAATGTAGAGGTTGAAATAAAAATATTTCTCTGGAGGAAATGAAGAGTCATTTTATTTAATATTATAGCTACTATTAGGGCGCTGTCATTACAGAAAGGGAATGCCAGTTCACACAGCCAAGATGAAGCTTTTAAATTAGCCCAAGAGATCTTTCATGAAATAGCAGTAGGTTTTCAGTGCCACAAACATAGGTCGAGTTGTGTTTATCCTAAATATTTTTGCTGAAGTTAAATTTTTCCTAATAAACATTGTCTTTCTAGACTATTATTATTACAGCATTATCTGGTTTTGCTTTTGGTGCTATAGAGCAGCAGCAAGCTGAGATGCTTTTGCACTGAGTTTATTATCTGAGCAAGGCTATTCTGGCCCTGTAAGCCAGGCACAACAGAGACAAACCTCCATTTGTTTACTGGAGGGAGGAATGTGGCTGTATACCTGCCTCCCTGGTTACACCTGTAGGGCAGGTTGCTTGGCTGAAACCCCGCTGCTGGGTGCTGGCAACTGAATGTCAATAGTGACTGGACTCAGAGGACTGAGGTTTCTGTGTTCTCCTCTTGCAGTTTAAGCCTCAGCTATGTGTGTAATCTCAATTACACTGATGTGGTGAAGTTGAAACTTGGCTTATCATCCCAGCAAGATTCTTCTGGAGCATATTTTAGATAAGAATAGAAAATATGCTGTGCTTGCCATGAGCTGCACTTAGATACAGAAGAGCTTTATCTTTTGGTACAAAGAAAGATGTGGTTTAATTTGTCAACCTTCTGGTGTGTAGGGCAGAAGGTGTATGTAAAGAAAGCCTTTCTTACCTTACCTGGTTTCAGTTTTTCAGCAAGCAATGTGGAAGCAAGAACAATGCCAATGGTTATATTGGTTTATTTATAGTGAGTAGAATCTTAAGGTTCCATGTTCTTGTTTGTATTGCCTGTTACTTGGAAACATCAGACACTGTTGTCTCTGTTGGCATCCCTTAATCTTGGTCAAGGTGCATAATCTCTCTCTGAGATTCAATTGTCTCATTGGTAAAAGGGGATAATGTTAGTAGTACTCAACTCATAGTGTTGGGTTTGAAAGTTAATGTTTGCAGTATGCAGAATAGTACTTGGAGGGCCAGCAAGATAGCTCAGTGGACTGAGTACTTGCTTAGGCAAGCACAGGCATAGGAGTTCAATCCCGAGTACCACATGCCACACTGGGCCAGCCACTGAGTCTGGGTGTGGTAGCGCACACCTGTAGTCCCATCTTGGGAGAGGATGAAAACAGGAGGATCATTATGAGTCCGAGCTGTGGAGTGAGACCCTGTACCAAATACATTAAAAAAAAAAAAAAAAAAAAAAAAAAGTACTTGGCACATGGTGTTATAGAAGTGTTTGCAGATGAAAATGAACAATGGAAAATACTTTGCCTAATTAATTATTTAAAGCACAACTGATATTTTTGATGTCTTTCTGGTTGCTGAGTATTCATCTGAGTACAGAAAAAGTCACCATTATGTCCAAAGGATAGTTGTTATTTAGGATTTTTTTCTCTGCCCTTGCTGTTCTTCCTTTTCCCTTTACAAGGCAAAAGTATCAGAAAACAGTAAGTGCATATACTTCTCTATAAAACTGGTTTGGCCATGTTCAAAAACAGGAATTATGAGTCATGAATCACAAATTAATAGGAATGAGCCAAGGTAAAATGACATCCTAAGGATGTGGAGGTCACTGTCAGACTCACAAACTCATCAGATATCAAAACAGCTTTCTTAGCTTGTTCACAGGTTCCCAAGGGGTGTGAGAATAGAAGTTACTAGATCCATAAAGTTGGTAAAAAATCTACATTTTTGCTGACCCCTAAGTGGTATTAATGTGGGTGGTAACCCATGGTGATATATGAAATAATCATGACTTGGTCACTAATGGTAGTGTTAGATATTTTACTATCTTCTGGTCTCATTTATGCTTATCTAGAAATTATGCTAGTTATTTTTTTTTTTTTTTGAAAAACGTAATACTGTTTATTTAACTTGGAAAACATTTCAGCATTCTAAACATACAAAAAAATAACACAACATTGCAAATCGTGTTTAAGTACAGAAGCTTCTTGAACCTTCTCTGACTCTTTGCCAATGAAGAGTTCTATATCTTGAAAACAAATAGTTTAGCACTTAACTAAAAAACAAAACAGTAACGAATCCAAACACTTCTCATGCCAGCTGGCCCTCTCAGTCCCCAGCTAAGACAGGACAGCAGGACACTAGGTCACCATACACAGAAGCTGATGGACGCTGCCACAGCCACAGCAGCAACAGGTCGAAGGTCCCTTCTCAGTGGCATCTGCCCCCCCCCCCCCGCCTCAGTGCCAGGCAGGAAGCATCGAGGGCTCGCCTGGGTTGCTTTGCTTTTTACAAACTCTAGATATGTACAGTTGGTAACTCAGGATTTCTAGCCAATGACGTTACAGTTAACACCACCTTACAACTTAAAAAACGAACGCCAGGGACATCTCCAAATGCCTTTTCACAGCCACAGCAAAGTGCACAGAGCGAGGAGAACACAGGGTGCCTTTCAGTTTAAAAATGTTTGGAAATATGTACAGCTTTGATACAATTTCACAGCGTTCCGGACCCCCGTGGCCACGTTGAGCAACTACCGCCAACTTCCGGAGCATTTGAGAGACTACACGATCGCAATCCGGTTGGCATTTAACCTAAGAAACGGTCAGTCACGGCGCTCCCCTACTCTAAGGGATTCACAAGGAGACAAGTTTTTTTATTCATCCTCCTCCTCCTCTTCCTCCTCTTCTTCCTCCTCCTCCTCTTCTTCCTCTTCCTCTTCTACCTTTTTCCGGGCAACTTTAGCAGGACCCTTTGCACCATCGAACTTTCCTTTAGACTTATAGTCAGCCACGTCCTTCTCATACTTCTCCTTCAGCTTCGCCGCCTTGGTGATGTACGGCTGCTTTTCACTGTCACGTAAATTATTCCACATCTCGCCCAGCTTTTTAGCCACATCACCAATAGAGATACCAGGGTTGGTGGATTTGATCTTGGGGCGGAATTCAGAACAAAACAGGAAAAATCCAGACGGTGGTCTTTTGGGAGCGTTGGGGTCCTTTTTCTTCTTGCCTCCCTTCGCGGGTCCATAATCTTTCATCTCTCGGTCATAGCGAACTTTATCTGCCTTGGCCATTTCATCAAACTTCGACTTCTCTTTCCCAGACATTGTCTTCCACCTCTCTGAGCACTTCTTGGAAAATTCTGCAAAATTGACAGGGACCTCTGGGTTCTTCTTCTTATGCTCCTCTCTGCAGGTCTGCACAAAGAAGGCGTATGCAGACATCTTGCCCTTTGGTTTCTTGGGGTCCCCCTTAGCCATCCTGACTGTATTGTTCGCGAGTCTGGGCAGCGCAGGGCACGACGCGAAGCTCAGGCTCCCAGCCTCGCCTATGCTAGTTATTAGACACATCATGATTTAGGGTTCTTTAATGCCTTAACAAAAAGCACTTAGCTTTTCTTTTCTTTTTATATATATATAGTACAGAGTCTGCAGGGTCTCACTACATAGATAGGACTCCTAGTGATTCTCCTGTTTTCAGCCTCCCAAGCGCTGGGATTATAGGTGCGCACCACCACACCCAGTCTCAATCTCAGTCTCAGCATGCTGTAGGATTGGGGCCAGCAAGGCATGCAGGGGATCGAACTCCCAGCCCCTGCGCTCTGCCTGAGCAGTGGGCTTCTCATTCTTTAGCAGCTCCAGTGTCCCAAACTTCCTAGTCCTGCTGACCCTCAGCAACAGGGGTGGAAACAGGAGGACAGTTTCTAGTTGGCTTTAAAAGAAACTTCTGAATTCTGTTATCTTTACAAATAACATCAAATAATTTTTCAGTATATTCTAGTATTCTTTTTATAAAATGAAAGAAGCATCTGTGATCGATTAAGGAAGGTGGTTAAGGCTTGGTTCTTGGGATTATGTTTCTTTCTTTTAGTTTTTTTAATCTTATGCTTTAAGTTGAAACATTCTTAGACGTTTATGGGGGAGCATTCTTTTCCAGCAGGTCATTTGCTCATCTTTTGAGGAGTCTATCCTGTGCAGGTGAATGATATGGCATCTGTGCATATGTTCTGTTTGGACTATACCCTCCTCTTCCCCCCAGCCTTTGCTTCTTGGGTTGTTGTGCTTTCCCCTTACTTTGCTGCATTTCTATAGTTAAGTTGTTTTTACTTGAATGATTCATGTTTAGGGGAAAAAGAAAACACTCTTAAAATTTGTTTTAACTCATCCTGCAAATAAAAATAATAAAGAAAAAAAAGAAATATAATGTGAACAACATAAAATTTTAAATATTCTAGTAGCTAGTTTAAAAAGAGTTTTAAGGAAGAGGTGAAGTTAATTTGAATAATATATTGCATTCACATAAGTGTATATAAGATAGCAGTTTAGCAGGTTGGTGTATTAAAATTATTTATGAGATGTTTGACTTTTCTTCCATGTGGAAGGTTTGAGTCAGGTGTGGCTTTATACTTAGAATCCGTCTTGATTTAGATGCAACAGTTTCACTGATATTCTCACATCTAACAAATTTCTGCGCCAAACATGGATTCAAGTGATTCTAAACACAGTGAGAAGTTTTGCATTAACTACAATCAGTGATTTAAATTCAAATGAATGAAGATAAAATAAAAATGTAAAATACTGTTCCTCAGTCATACATCAAGTCCCCAGGGACTGCACAGGGCTACTGGTTACCTGGTTGGGCTTTGCTTCTCCAGTCAAATTGGACACAAAACTGTCCCCAGGAGAGCAGAGTGCTGCACAGGGTTGGAACATTGTCTGAGATATAGCATGTCCTCTTCCTTACTTTGATGTGTTTAGTGAAGCAAGTATCTATTTGAGTTCTCTCCTTTAAGGCCTTTCCTGTATTCTCCCTGTCCCTGAGCAGGCTTTGACCCATTGGTGATATTGGTGATGACCACAGTACTCAGCTGCCTTGGGGGTTTGGGTTGACCTTGGGAAGCATTTCCATTTTTAAAAAAAATATTTTATTTGTGTGTGTGTGTGTGTGTGTGTGTGGCCAGCTCAGCCCACCAGGGGGCGGGGCTGGCTGGCATGTGGTGCTGGGGGATTGAACCGCGGTCCCTGTGCTTTGCTAAGCTTGTTCTAAGTAGGTGCTTTAGACCACTGAGCCATCTCACCAGCCCTAGCATTTCCATTTAAGTGATTTTTTTTTTTTTTGGTGGAACCAGGGATTGAACTCAGACCCTTGCGCTTGCCAGGGAAGCGCTTATTCCACTGAGCCATTTCCCCGGCCCCCTAAGTGATGGCTTTTGTAGATCAGTTGCATTTGTTTTTGTGGTACCGGGGATTGAAATCAGGACCTTGTGCTTGCCAGGCAAGTGCTTATTCTCCCCAGCCCTGTAGATCAGTTGTAGGTATAGAATTTTATAATTATCGTTTGAAGTGGCTGAGGAGGGTTATAGAAATTCTTGGAAAGCTTTTGTTTTTCCTTGAGCAATCTTTGGTATAATTATGGACATTGATTATATGGGGGCTTTTAGACTTTTTTTTTTTTTTTTTTTTTTTTTTTAAATAGTGTCTTCCAGAAACCTTGATCTGCTAGACAAAATCTAACCTTTTTATTAATCTTCACCTAATGGCTTACATCAGACTTTCTTTTACTATCATTCAAGAGCATGCAGGGTACAGGCCTGGTCTTTTAGTTTTGGGAGAGTGCAAAGATCTACACATTCACAAGGAGGACCTTTACCACAGAGACACTGAAAGAGTCCTTGCTCCCAGTCCCCTGGCTAATGTAAATGTTTGTTCCTTTCCAGAAGTGCTCTGTGAATTTGAGTTAGGTGATTATATTACGGGAAAAACATATTCTTACAGCATCGAGGAATGAAGTCCTGAACCAAGGTTGGAAGTTAGGAGAGTCTTATTGGAAACAAAGATAAGAATAGCTCCTGAGGCTACTGAGGCTCTTTGTCAAGGGTAATTTATAAAGCAATACCACAGCATGGGTACAATATCAAACTGCAATCAGTATCTAGGCTTACAAGTAGTCACCTAACTGATACTGATTTAATAGTCAAGTTAGTGGCTGGGGAGATGACTCAGTAAGGGCCTGAGTTCAATCCCGGTTACAAAAAAAAAAAAAAAGTCAAGTCAATCACGTAGTGAGGGTAGCTGGAAAGACCAAAGGCTTTCAAGGGAGGGGAGTATGGGACCCAGTGTTTCAGTGAGCCTTCTCTGTGTCTGATGTCTGTCTGGGCTCCCTGCACCAGGTGGTGCTAATTATAGCAGAATTCCAAGTTGCTGTATCTGTTGGCATATAAGCAGGCCTGGTTCTTGTGTCCATCTTAATGCCTTGCTCCCCTTAGATATGCTCAAGCCAGCCTCCATGTGTCTGGTCTTCTGCGCTGACTTCTTCCAGGGCCTACTCTCTGCCTGCATATTAATTTTTATCTATGATATTTTTAGCAGTTACAGAGTTACCCTTGTGTGGTCTAGCTCTGCTTTCATTTCTTGTTTGTCTGACTTGATACTTAATGTGGCTTTTTCATTTCTTTTAATTGAAATTCATACACCATGGGAAAAAAATGAACCAATAATGTTACTAGTTTAAATATAACACTGGATCCTAGATATAAAAATTAAGAAACTTTGTCTATATAAAGTATAAGAACTTCAGAGTAGAGGTTCAGATACTACTAATAAGGAGACTATCTCTGTGACCCTTGTGCTGTATCTTGGCACTTGGGAGACAAAGTTGAATAGTTTGGGGCCTTAGAGCCCTACAGGTGTCTCATGGCAGCTGAGCTGGACCATTTGTTTATTATTGTGCTGCCAGGGCATCTGAAAGAGAAGATATGTTTCTCATTCTTGAGTTAGGCACTAAATTTGCACAAGTCCAAATGATAATCATGAAAGGTTTATTTAAGTAGATTTTGCCTTTTTTTCTTCAGTACTGATGATTAAACCCAGTGTGCAACAATTGCAGTTTTTGTTTTTAATGTCTACATCATATAGAAGGAGCAATTTTTAGCCAAGTGGTGGTAACATCAGAAACAGCAGTTGGTATTTATAAATTCATTCAACAAATACTTGTCCAGTGTCTACTGTGTGTCAAGTCCATTCTAGAGTGTGGGGACCCAAGTGTGAGGCATGGGGAGATGGCTCAATAGGGTAAGCACTTGCCTGGAGCTCAAGTGCCTGAGTTCAAACCCCGATTCTGCACCCCCAAAAAAGAAAAGACTATCCTGTTTCTTAGGGGGTTGGGGAGATGGCTCAGTAGAATAAGTGCTACCCTGGCAAGCACAAGGACCTGAGTTCAATCCCTGGTTCTGCCAAAAAAAGAAAAAAGGAACATTTATGGGTCTTGTGGCCAAATAACCAACTGTGGGGCATGACTTCACTGGGCCAAGGCACAGTGAAGTGAGTGAGTGAATGCAGCCTGTGACCTGTATCATAGTGTGGCATGGACACATGTGTGGGTATACAAATGCTGGTGTCCAGGGAGGAAGCAGTCAGGAAAGGATCGCTGCTGCTTTGTGTATCTTTTCCTCTGTGCTTTACTGACTCTGCTCCTATGGCCGTTTCAGGTTGGTGACTGAGTGGCTGGTAGAGATGGGTTGAGTCAGGTTGAAGAGGCCAAAGCTAACAAGGATAACTATCAGGAAGACGTTGGTGGCTTCATGAACAGTGTAACCAATGAACCATCATCACCCATGACTCTGTAACATGACAAGTATTTGTTGAATGAATTTATAAATACCAACTGCGTTGTGGTCACACCATGTAGAACTTGTTTATCCAATGGCTGCCAAGAGATTTTATGATTTTAAAATCACAACAAATTTTAATGGTTGCTTAATATTTCTGTACACACGTGCCTTTTAAAATCTGTGGATTAGAGGAAGTGATGCAGAAGTTCATGGGAGCCCTGGCTGTGGCCTGTACTAGACTCTGGAGAGACCAGCAGCCCATGCCAGCTGCCTGCTGCAAGCAGCCCACATGTGTGGGAGTTAAGAGTCGTCAGTTCTTCTGGAAAAATACCTAGGGTTGGAATAACTGACTTGCATGGTATCTCCAATTCTAGCACTTTAAGGAATCTCCATACTGATTTCCAGTGGTTTTACTAGTCTGCACACCCACCAACAGTAGGAAAGTGTTCCTTTTTTCTCCACAGCCCCTACAGCATTTGTTACTGGCTGACATGTGTGTGGTTGTGTGTGTGTGTGTCACCCTTAGCCTGCCCTGGGGTGTGGGGCTGGCACAGCATTGAACTGCTGCCTCTGCACTTGCCTAAGCTTGTCTAGGCAGGTGCTTTAGCCTGCTGTGTTATCTCTCTAGCTCTGGCTGACTTCTTGATATTAGCCATTCTTTCTGGTGTGAGATGGAGTCTTAATGTTTTTTTACCTTGCAGTTCT